TCTTGATATTTGTTTCTGTTGTGATTTGATTATTAGTTCATATCATGTGATTTTGTTTTCCTTTCCTTTATTTTGCCTTTATTTTGAAACTTGATCCTAACATTTTTATTTAAAATAGATAACGATGTAACTTGATATTGCTTACCTAGTATTCATAACTTAGGATGACGTCTCTAACAATATGGAGCATCATGATGGATGACCTATATAAACTGCTGATAGTCTTTATGATGCCATTTTTGCTTCCATGCAATGATGAGAGCAAGCCTAAGGCATGCATCCTATCATCATAGTTGATGTTTATAGATTTTAACCGTCTTAGTGACTAAGTTGAATTCATTATGCTTCAATATAATATTTCAAGGTTAAAAAATTTATGCATTATATGTATCCTTGACTGGGGAGTTATTTTTATACACGTATTTTAAAGCATTAATGTAAAGATTTATCTAAGGGATAGGTGAATGTAACTTAGAGCTTTTTGCTCCTCAAGAGCCACTATACCTTATTGACTTATTTTGACTTTTACCCATCATTTCAAAAGAGCTCTTCCCGCAACAGGCCTGCCTCTTGGATTCATTGTCAGTTGAAAAAAAAAAATCAATTCTGAGGGTGCATGGATGATCTAAGTAGACATGGACAAGCTTGCCCCAGAACTTGAGGAATGCCCATACTTTAACCCTAAAGAGCAGTGTTTTTTTGAGGCCCAGTGTAGTTGATGCAACACCAACACAAAGTTTAAGGATGATATCACAACCAAAGCACTGTGTCAAGATTTGGATTCATTATCATGCACAAATTTCCAAGCAAGTGCACGATTGACCCGTTCTCCCTCTATATTCAATGGAGAATTTTTAAGAAATTTAAATTTTAGGTCTTTCGATGGGAAGGTCGGTCACACCAAATAAGTGAAGTTCGTTAAAGATTGCTTGCTTTTAAGTCCACTCTACCTATCTAAGTTTGACCAAAGTTTCCTATTTATGGAAGCTTCTTAATTATAACTCTTTGTTTCTTTCCTTTTCTTATATTAAGACAAGTCATCATCCATGTATTAGTAGTTTATTGGCTCATATTGCTTTACAAACATGCATAGGTAGGGCCATAGGCTTGAAAAGGGCCTGTAAATAAGCTCTTGCTTTATATGCTTCAGATCATTGAATAAAATTATTTTTTATATGTGGAAATTTTGTATTAGGTGGGGTGGCGACTCTATTCTTTGCTTTGGTGAGTGGTTTGGTGAGTCTATAGTTGTCTATTTCCTCTCATCCAAGATAGGCTTCACTAACTCTAAAACCTGACACTTTAACCCCAAGACACCTCTAACCTCCTTTATTCTCTCCTATACATTCTACCACATTCCATACAACTCCTTGTGACTAACTCCTCATTAATGTGTCAAGATACACAATCCAAAACTTGAATATTATGAGATAATTTCTTATTGTGAGTAGCCAAACAAATAAAAAAAATAAAAAAAATTCTTAGTCATTGATCCAAATTTCCTTGGATTCTTCCATTAGTTTTCTAACATCTCAAATCTTAGTTATGGAATTTCTCTCGTCCTCCAAAGGAAAAATTATCTATTCAAAGTCTAAAATTTTTTGCCTTTAATTTATCTTTATCCATTGTGCTATTACCCCCATATATCTCTATTTATCAACCCAAACGATCTCCAATCAAATTGCTGATTTCTCCATTAGATTCTGTAAGTCCCTATATACCACTCGCTTTTTTTAAGTCCCACATAACTCCTTATTTACCAACCAAATGAGCACCAATCAAATTGAATATAGTCTCAAAACCTTGGAACTTTTTTGATTCTTGGAACTTTTTTGAAAGTCATTGATTGCTATAGTCTCAAAACCTCAGAAAGTAGTCGCTAAGTGCTAGTCTCAGAACCTCAAAAGTTAGTGGTTGATTGCTTCAAGTTGAAGACACAAAAGAAAATATTTTTTTGCTACAATTCTAGGACCCTTGGCATACGGGATTTTCATGGAATGCATTGTGGCCTCTTTAATTCTTTTCAAGGTCTAAATTGTGGGAAATTTTGGAAAATAAAAGTTAATTCCTACCATTCGATGCTAGGATTATTAGAAGATTTAGTTTTTTATTACTTTTAAGAGAATTCTAGGGAATTTTTTAATTTGATCTTTCATGAGCTATATATAAGCTATATTTGACAGATATGGACATAGGCACAGATACTAGTATTGCAAAAAAAAATGGGACATAGACACATATTAGACATGCCATTATAATAAAATTATTAATACACACACTTAAAGTAATTAAATAAAATATTAAGAGTAATACGAATAAAAGATAAATTTAATAGCATTATCTTTCAAATATTAAGATGCCCATGACGAGAAATACCAGCCCAAACAAGCGATAGCTGCACCGCTCTAGCTCGTATGAGAAAATAATTTGGATGAATATATACATTTAACCTTTAAATAAAAAAATAAGTTTTTTTTACTTATAACAAATATACCATAGATGTTTAAATTTTTTATAATTTTTAATTAAATAATTTAAAATGCATGTCAATGGAGTGTCGGTGAGTGTCTGTGTTCAATAAGTGTCTGACATTGTGTCGTGTAATTCCATAAGCCAGGGACGTGTTCGGGAAATGTTTCCAACACGTGCACGTCTCTGACTTATGCAGTTGCAAGGCACATTAAAATAAAACTAATGCAAAGCAAACAAATTGTGCAAACCCTCTCACAATGTTAAAAATATAATAATGGAAGGTGACAGGATAAGAATAAGAGTAAGAAACTTTATATTTTAGTTGAAACTATATTAAAATGATATACAACTAGACGTGCTATTATTTTATTTTAATAGAAATTGTAATTTTGAATGACATTTCCTTAAGTGTGAAAGGTGTACAACGATTACAAAATAAATAATTAAATAAAATTTCTCAAGCCAAATTGAAATAGCCAAGTTCATGCAAAATTATTATTGAAGACAGAGAGCCTAAAATTCAATGATTTAAATTTTAGAAAGAGAATGTCTAGATAAAAATAATATAATGAGCACATAATTAACTCCAATAAATTTTTTATAATTTATGTCATGATAAATGATCCACTAACCAACTTGAGTTTGTCGAAAGTAGAGCTAATGAATCATGTTTTTAAAAATTGGACAAAATTGTTGGGTTTGATTGGTTCAAACACGAGCTAATAATTCTATGATTGGTTCAATCAATGTCCAAAATAACTTTCATACAAAACTGACAATTGATTAGTAAACTATTTCGATTTTGAAAAAAAATCATGGTTTTAATATTGAATAATTTTTGTTTTTGGGATTTTGATTAGATGTGACTATATTGGTTAAAATTGTGTGATACGAAACATGCCTCAATACTTTTTTGAGGAGATAAACAAGAAAGCTTACACCTCATGTGCTTGGTTGTGGCTTACATACACCTCACTCATGTTGAGACACGCCTTGGTACACCTCATCCAGACTGAGACATGCCTTAGCTCTTTTTTTTTTGTCTGAGGTGTAGGCTTCTTTTTTTTTTAAAAAAAAACCTGAAATACCGAGTTCCACTTAACATAAACCTCATGTTCTTTGTAGAAATGACCTCGCTGCTGGTCTTCTCTATCCTATCTGTGGCTTTTGATCTTTATTGCCGCTGACGCCACTACCCCACTCCTTTATCAAGATTTCTTAAAAAAATTGTGAACAAACGAAATCCTATTTTTTTTTACCTTTTCTAAGTGGCTAAATCTATTTTTTTAAAAAAATTTATTTATGCTTTTTGTTCTTTGAATATTGTTTTGCTCAAACTTTTTTGAACGAGATTTAATAGTTTAGGATTTTATGGGAATGGTTAGAGGAAATGAGAAAACCTCCATTGAGAGGCATAACTAGTCGACATTTGAGGGAATGATAAAATTTATATTTATATAAATTACAATTATTGATAGAAGATTGTTAGGTGTTGCATGATTGGGAAAGTGCCTTTCTGGCTCTCACACGAATGTTGTAGAGCATGCCAAAATATCTCAGGCAATGAATGCGGAGATCCATGCATATATGAAGATGATGACATGAAAGCATTTTACATAGTAATTTCACAATAGAGTGAATGCTAGTTTTTGTTATGGAAGCTGGCCTAGTGACAGATTAATTATTTTATTTGCAACAAGTTTCATATAAAGGTATCATTGGGCCTATGGAGTAATACATAATAAATATGGAGGATGGTATTGATGATGCAAAGGTAGTTGATAGATGCCTCTTGAAAGTGCTAGAGAGGTACACATGTCTGTATAGATATTTGGAGGCTCTGATGATTTTGGAGCAGACTTGAGTGGTGATCATGTCTGATGATTGCTCTGATGTTTTATTTTTTTATTCTGTTAGAATTTTAATATGTTAATTCTTAATTAACATTTTGAAATTTGTGTAATAATTATACATTCACACAACTTTTTTAGATTGAGGCTTACACCTCAAAGTGACTTTAGGCTCACACCTTATTTTGCGGACAAGAAAATGACTGAATGCTCGATCACACATTTTTAATCCTTGATTTTAACAGCCACCACTTAGATAATCTTGGCATGAATGTCTAATGGGATGACATGTTGTTGTGCCACTTTTCTTTGAGGGTTGAGATGCTTTGGAGTATCGAAATAAAACAAAATAACTGCCTTCAAGATTGTGAACTTTTGGAAATGTATGTATGATTCATTTTGTATTTCTTTTTTAGTAGTGCCACATGCAAGGCATGCATATGACTTCCCAACTCCTTGGCATTGTTGCTTATGTTGAACAATAAAATAGGTGTTTCATTCCTCTTGTTGATTGAACGTTTTTTTAATGATTTGTTTCGAGTCATCTATTTTTTGTTTAGTTTTTTTCTTCCTTAGGTGGAGGCACCCTATCCCATGTCATGAGATAGTGTTGTAGCTTTCTGTGATTATTTTTTTATATCCTTGAAAAACATGCATTAACACTTGCCGCTATTGCAGAGCTGAAATACTTGATAATCACTTGTCCATCCTACAAAGGAATCACGAACAAAGATCACAAATTGAAGAAAGAAGAATTAGAGATGATGCAACACTTGAGGAAGCGAAGAGGAAGGAGAAGGCTCTAATTGATGAGAAACTGCGTCAAGAGAAATCTAAAGCGGAAGCAGAGGTTGGTATTTCATTTGTTAACATCTAAAACAAAGTAATTTGTATGATCTGAACATAGTATATATTTTCCTAGAATGATATGATGTATTAAATGTTTTTATAGATATATATTTTTTGTTTTATTTTATATTTCATGGCTTGAGATGATGGGATTTACATTTTTTCTTACTGTCTTTATGGATCCTTAGCTTGATATTAGATTGTAAGGATACGTCTTTCTAGCAAGTCAATGATGTGTGGCGAATTTTGTAGCTTCAAATGTAAATTATGGAAAATTATTACAAGTTATTTTTTTTCCCTGCTCTTTCATCATCTAAATGCATTGCTTATTTTCTAAATTGTGTTTTTTAGAAGAGCTTATATTTAAAGACTTTAGATGATGTGGTGATATTTTATTGGAAATTAAATATATTATTGGCATATTGATAATTGTTGACTACCTTTAAGAAAAAGAAAAAGGATTATTTTATTTATAATGTTATGTTCTATTTTCCATTCTAGTGTTAAAGTTGTCTTTTGGTTTACTTGGACATAATTGTGTTGAGGCGAGGGCGAGAAACTTACTATAATATGAACTTTATTTTTTCTATATTTACTTATTTTACCTTCTTTTTTAGTTAAGCTTAAACTACAGGAACAATCAATCATTTTGTTGTTACATTCCATGCATCCTCAGATGAGTTTCGTTTCCCATAAAGTATTTCATGAATATCTTAGGTTTAACTTAAGGATGTTTTAAAATTTGGTCTACTATCATGCACAAGATTGTAGTTATTGTCAATATTACTTCCCAAGTTTTTAGAAGAACATTAATTTGCCATTTCATTTATTTATATGATGCATTATATGCATGTGCTGGACATATTTAGGACATTTTTCTTTTTTAACGAAGCATGACATTTATTAGAGGTGGACATTTCTATTAGACACATGTTCTACCATCACCCATCCGGGCTATTATTACTTGAGTTAAGTGGGTTAAAACTAGTTTGTGTAGACTGCCACATGACATACACTACTCTTTCATAATCTAATAGGTCTAGCTAGATCATTTATATGGAAGTGCGCACAATTACATTTATGAAAATTTTTATAATATTTCTAATAAACATCACAGGTAAATAACACATACCAATTATCTTCCTAATGCATCACAAATATTCTTGCTCTTTTTGGTACACTAAAAGCTATGAATCAAATCATAACACGAAGGAAAAAAATTATTCATTTTACTATGACTCAACTAACCTTTTTTCTTACCTTAAATAATGATTATAGTAATAACCAATGAGCTATATAGTTCAATGGGTTAAACAACTTTAATACTGAGCTCAAAATGTAAGGAAAAAATAGTGGAGTTGCTGATCATTTAAACTTACATCAGTACTATAGACATAACTTGTTAGTGCAGTAAACCTTAATTCAAGATGTGCTTTGATAATTAAATAATTAAAGGAGTAATTATAAGTAATAAATATGAATGTTTGTATGAAAATGAAATCCAACTGTCTAGTGTCCAATCATTCAATTCAAAATGCTTGTTAGATATATGTATCCAAAAACATATTTACTTTAATTTTCTATTCTCATTCTTATTTTTCTGTCTTAGAAGCATGATATAATATCTATCTAAATTTTGACACATTTATATATCATTATAATTGTCACCTAGCTACTTATCCCGTTATCACAATTGATTATGGTAGGACACTTTCTAACATAGCAGTTGTCTAAGGACTCCATGATGAATGTTAGGTTATTCCAAAATGGTGGTTATCGAGAGTTGAGAATGCTCTTCTAACCCACATTGTGACTCATTGCAAAAGAATGTTTGTAACTTTGCATATGTTGTGATAATCTGCAATTTATCATGTATAATACGACCTTTCATAATTTTTTTTGTTTTATCATCAATATCATATGCATTTAAAATGTGCTTAACATTTTATGCGCATGTCATGATAAATTTGTTTGACTTGTAATTTTGAAATAGAGATGCAATTGGCGAAGCAACATATGAATTTTGAATATGCATAGTAGGCCATAAGATTTGCACAATATGAAAATTACAGGTAATTTTTTTTAACAGGCGATCATTTGCAATGTATTAGACTTCTTGATTACCCCTTCTTGCCAAATACCCTACAAGAATAAACATAAAGGTTAAATGTAGTTATGGCAATTTACAAACATCAGGCCTACACAAACTTTATCACCTATATTTGAGATCTAATATCTGACCACCAATGATAGATTTTACTCGAAATGGATTTCCTTACTTTTATCATCTCAAAATCTTAATTTTAATAAACGGCCTAGGCAAATTAATTTAAATAAATTCCTGATTCAATAATATAAGTACAACTCAATTGATCTCAATATGACATATTTACTTTGAAAGGTTTTCCTCGTCCAAGCTTTTATGCTTATCAACCCAAACCTAAACCCTATTCAAAGAAGAACTGAAAAATTAGGTTTTTATCTTCAAACCTTGGATTTTCTTTCTCTGCTACCCTTCCCACGGCCTGCTCTCTATTAGACTTATGCTTGCTTGTAGCTGATGGTTGCAGGATAAAGTGAGATGCTAAGTTATTTATATATAGAAGTTAACAGAGCTGCCAATTTTTCACAGCCGTTTATTTGTCCATTTAAAATTTGATGTGTCTATGTGCTTGCACGTGTGTGTGTGAAATTGAGGAAAAAATTTTGGTTTTATCTTTTTAACAATTTTGGGTATCATACATGCCAAATAAATTTTTAAAAGCACCTTCAATTTGGTCTCTGATATGCAAAGTCTTTTTTTTTTTCAATGAAGGTTCTCAGTTAGCAGACTTTTAACTGAAATTAATTTATAAAAATTGCCTTCATATTTTGCTACCCTTTCCCTAACTTGGTAGTCTTCACATAATCTGTGGCATAAGCATGTAGATTGCTACATTTGTGACATGTACCTAAAATTTCCATTTTATTATACAAATCTAAGGTCATTGATAAGAGATCAAAGGAGCTCATGGTGGATTATGAGAGCTCCTCCGCTTATGATTGATTTGAGATCTATACTTCTAAAAAAAAAATGTAGATCACCAAATTGCTTATCTCTTATTCTTCCATCTTGTTGGCAAAAAAATAGAGCTCAAAAAATTTTGAGAGGAAAATAAAGTAGATCAAAAAGTATTCTTAAACAATCAGCCAAAAAGGATTTTCAAGTCCATTGTTTTTTTTTTTTCAAAAAGCAGATTTTTTACTTTTTATTTGATAATAAAGATTTTCTTACTGCACATTTCTCCTTTTTGGTCATTTTTTTCCCAATAGAGATTTAGAAGGAGACAAGGAAACCGATCAGATATGAATGTCTTCTTAACTGATATTTTGCTGTGATGACATGGTTGAGATGACCCTATTTGATGGCTAAATATTGAAACAATACATTCTAGTGCCAGGGATGGAGCATGTGGTTTAAAAATGTGATAGACATCGAGCAAAGAGGTTGTACAGATGCGATTGATGGTCAAGGGATATCAATATCTTGATTAAGAATGCTGGAGATGTGTTGAAGATTTTTTATGTGTGGAAACTCAAATGGTACTTTGGTTGATGGTTTCACTGGTTGCCTGATTCAAATAAATTTTTATTTCTTGTAGCAAGAGATAGGTTTTTGTGGAGAAAAGATTTTGTTCAATTTGAAATCTTGGAAAGTTTCAAGGGAAATGGAGAGTTTATTTTAAAATTTGTACGTTTAATCATGTTAAATGCCTCAAAGGACTGTGATGTTATCCGTATTTATAGTTTAATTATCATAGAAGGAAAAAAATATTCTCATATTTCATTTTTTTTTATTTATCTTAAATTTTTTGTGCAGCCTTGAACTACAGATTTTTTATTCTTTTGAAGATATTTGATTCTTTTGGACCTGGATGTTGAAAGAAGCATTTTAGCCCTTTTTGAATTTTTTAGTTTTATTTTATTACATTTTTCTCTGACTCTTATTCTCTTTCCTCTTCCTACTATGCTGTATTTGGCGACTTGCTGTCCCTTCCTCCCTCCTGTTCTCCTTCTGTCCCTTTCTCCTTCCTGTTATCCTCTTTCTTGTATTTCTCTTGCCCTTACGTTGGTTAAGGCAAAAAAGGAGTGGAGACTCAGTGCAACTCAATGCAGAGAGGCATTAGGTTATATTAAACTGAATGCTAGGAAAGAATGGCTGGGTAATATTTTGGTTCTTGGATAAGCTTTGAATTACAAGAGAAGTTAGCCGGGCTAGAAGAGGAATAATTGAACAGATTCTGGGGTATTTGAATCTTTTCTTGGCCATTATTCCTTTTTCTTTAATCGTCATCATTTGCTAGTATAGAGCTGCCATGTGCATGCCCACTTCCATTGCTTTAATTTGTCTCTTTTGGGGGCTACTTTGTTGCGGCAACAATTCTTGCTTTATATTATACCTGATTGCTTTCATCCTGGAGTACAAGAACAAGTGGTACGAGGAGTTTGCTTTTTATGTGTCACCCTCATTGTCATTATCTTCTATCCTTCTTGCTAATTATTTGTTGGTGGTGAGAGTTGGTAGTGGACCGGCTAGCTATCTACCTTCATGCAATGATCAATACTTTGCTAGTGACTATGTAGTGGGTTAAATGGTATATTTATATAATTGAAAAGTTGGAGAAGCAATGATAAAAGTTTTATTTACTCATTGAGGGGTTGTTTGATTGGCAAAGGGTATTGCATTTGAAATGCATGGGTTTAGAAATTTAGCCTGTTTGGTTGGCTGAAAAATAAATCCAATATGTTTAAATAAATCCAATATAAACTTGCAGTGAATTTCAAATGCAGGTGGTAGTTCATTTTGAGTGTATTTGAAATTTGTTAAATTTAGTTATTTTTAATTACACACCACAAATGGTGGCTATCACCACAGCTGTCCTAGCCACCTCGACCACTATTGTGCTATGGTCGGTTTCTGTTGACCATTCCTCATTGTTGATTGCCACCTGCATCCACCAA